AGAAAGGCAGAAGAGAGCATTCAGGGATTCAAGGTCCAGTTTTAGACCCACCTAGCCAGAGAGCACGTTGCTGCTTTTGTGTGTCTGTGCAGCAAGCTGCCATTGCCAAATATTGCTGGAAATCCAAGGTTGGAAAAGCATTATACAAAATGCTTGGGAGTAAGGGGGAGGTATTTTCACAACTTTGATAGACCATAGAGAAGGGAGATTCCTCTAACAAAAGTAAATCCCCTCTGACACTCAGTCACTAATAATTCTTTTTTTTTAACTTGAAAATAATTTTCATTTTCAATTCCAAATTCTCTTCCTCCCTTCTGCCCCTCTCCCACCCACTGAAAAGGCAAGAAGTAGAATGCAAAAAAGTTGTACAAACATTATACAATGAAGTCGTGCAAAATATAGCCAATCATTTTCAACACAACTCTAGCCACTGGACCAATCAGGACTTCAGCAATTATCCCTGCAAGATGCATGTCCCTAATTAAGAAGCCTCTTCATATTTCCAGATCCATGAGATCCGCCTAGCAAATAAGGGGTTCCCCTCATCACCCCTGATGCACATGATTATAGTTGTTCCAATACAACTTATTTGAACAAGTGATCAACTTAGAAGAATGGGAAAAGATAAAAGTAATAAATACCTATTTAGTCTCATACTCATAAATAAGTAATAAAGTAATAAATAAAAAATAAAAAAGTAATAACATGGACTCTGTCACCATCTTTTTTTTTTGCAATTGGGGTTAAGTGACTTATCTAGGGTCACATAACTAGTAAGTGTCAAGTGTTTGGTCTGAGGCTAGATTTGAACTCAGGTCCTCCTGACTTCCGGGCTGGTGCTCTATCCACTGTGCCACCTACCTGCCCTCTGTCACCATCTCTTAAAGAAGTTAAATAATACAACACATTTGCCTCAAAAAGGTTGAAAGACTACAGAAACTATCTCATCCAGCTAAGACTTTTGCTCTTGCCAAGCAAAGACATGGCAACCAAGAACAATATTGGTTGAATGTATAAACTCATTTCAAAAATATTTTGGGGAAGGATAATGGCAGTTTATGAAAAGTATCATTTCACAAAATAAAAAAAGCAGACAAGTGGAAAACCAGATTGCTGAGAACTTGGAATGAGATTTAGCTGGGCCAGAGCATCCTGGAACTTTTGTTGTTTTTGAAACCTGAAGGACAGCAAATGTTCATAAAACAGAACAGATCTGCAGACATTACTAAAGTGGTCTTTTCTCACTCGTGATGATGGTGGGAGCACAATATTTTTCTTTCACTACTTTGGTACCCTATGTACTCTTTGAGAAAGTGACTATTTCACTTAAAAAGAAGATGTTGGGAAGTGCAACCAAATTTAATCAATTTCATAAAGAAGAAATCTATGCTGGTGGTGACATGGTTTTAGAGGTACTTAAGAATCAATTTTCAATGTGTTTCAAAAAAGAGGAGATTCTAAAAGAAGGGAAAGTAAAAAGAATGCATCATTGCCCAGAAAAGAGTGAATAAGGGGATGTTAGCAGCTACCTATTCACATGTCTGATTTCTCATCTCTACAAAACCTTTATGGGAATGCCTTAAGCAAGTATTGAAGATATCCTTAATGAAAACATGAGAAAGGAATAGGCAGGCATTTGCAGACAATTTTCTGTAGCAGACCACACATTCACAATCCTACAGCTTCCTTAAAAGGTAAAGAGAAAGATATTACTATGGCTATAGTTTGTTGAATTTTAAAAAATCATTTGACTTCACATAATAAAGTGTAGGCTTTTGGTTCTTCTCCAAAAAGGTTTCTTCCATGCACATGTTAAAATCAAGTAAGACTATAATGTATATGGCCACAATGGGATATATTTGTTCAGACATCTGCTGAGTTTCAACATCAATGAGTTATAAAACAAGGAGACATATGCACTCATCCAAGAATTTACCTGTGTCATGGAAAATGCCAGTCATTGAGACTAAATAGGATCATTTTCAGTGATTTCAAACATTTTGCTGATGCCAGAGCCCATCTTTATAAGACTATTATTCTGGTGATGTTTTCTGGTTTTAAATCATGGAATGTCATGATTTTAGAAGAATCAAAGTTGTAGCCAACTTGAAGGGCAATGGAAAAATAATCAATAGTCAATAAACATTTATTAAGGGCCTACTATGTGCCAGGCACTGTGCTAAGCACTGGAGATTCAAATAAAGAGACAGTTCTTGCCCTCAAGGAGTTTACAATCTAATCAGGAAAGACAGTACACCAAGAAAGCATAAAAGGTGGGGGGGAGAGGGAAAAAACACACAGTGGGGTATAATTAAACTACAGTATACGAACAGAAAAGAGGGGAGTAGGCACACAATGAATATAGGGATCAGGGAAAGCTTCATGGATGAAGTACTGACCTGAGCCTTGAAGGATGAGTTACTGGGAAAAGAAGAAAGGAAGAGGGAGTGTATTCCAGGCATGGGGGGTGGTCTAGATGAGTGCATAGAGGTGAGAGATAGTATGTCAATTTTGGGTAACAAGTAGTATTAGGAAAGAACCTAGGATGTGTGAAGTAGAATAAGAAAAATGACCTATTCTAGACTTCTCTAGAAAGGTAATAAGAGTATAAAAGAGGGGACTTTGTAGAGCATCAAATTCAACCTATTTGTTTAGAATTTAATTTTGAAGATAAAGCTGAATGAGGAGTCAGGTGACTTGAGATCTAATCACAGCTCTGCTGTGACCTTGGTGGATACATCATTCCACTCCTGGACCTCCGTGTAGTCTGTAAAATGAATATGCTGGATTAGATTATCTCCAGGTTCTAAAATTCTGTATTCTGTGTTCTAATGTCACTTAAAACTTGGGCATTCTGTGATTCCATAGCAAAGATCCGTGTCTTTTATCTCCTTTGATCATTCCCACAGTACTCAGTGCACAGATCTTCGTTAAATGGACACTCACACTGTAATGAGACGTGACTTTGCAGTCACCTGCGCTCCACAGGTAGCCATTATACTGGCTTAACTGAGAGCATCCTAGAGCTATATTCATGGTGCTGGGGGGCAGGGAGGAGGTGGTAAAGGAGGTGGTGGGGAGGAGGCAAATCCCTTCTTCCTTACATATTGATAAAGAAACTGAGGGCCAGAGAGATCGTGATTTGCCCAAGGTCACACAGCAAGTAGCAGAGCTGGAGATCCCTGTATAAATGGTGTATTCTGGTTGTCTGTGTTTGTTTTAATTTCCTACTAGACTGGGAGCACCAGGGGGCAAGAGGCAAGCTGATCTAAGCTTTTTATCTCCTACCACACTCTTGAGCTCAGATAACAGTAAGGATCTCCAAATTGAAGGGAGTTGTTGTTCAGTCTTTTTTAGTCATGTTGGACTTTTCATGACCCCATTTGGGGTTTTCTTGGCAAGGATACTGGAGTGGTTTGCCATTTCCTTCTCCAGCTCATTTCACAGGTGAGAAAACTGAGGCAAACAGGGTTAAGTGACTTGCCCAGGGTCACACAGCTGGTAAATGTCTGAGGCCAGATTTGAGCTCAAGAAGATAAGTCTTCCTGACTCCAGGCCTGGCACTCTATCCACTGCACCACCTAGCTACCCTCTGAGAAAAGTTTTTGAAACCATTTAATTCAAGCCACACCTAGCAAAGAATTCTTCCAATAATACCCCCAACAGTGTCCATCTAACATCTACTTTAAAACCACCCTTGAACTGGAAACTGGTTTTAGATCTTTCTAGTCAGCTAGGTGGCATAGTGGACAGAGTGCTGGACTTGGGAGACAGGAAGATTTTTCTAATTTGGCCTCAGACACTTAATAGTTGTGAAACTCTGGTCATGCAACTTAATTGCTTCATGCCTCAGTGTCCTCATTTGTAAAATGGGGATATTAATAGCATCCACCTCACAGGGCTGTTTTGAGCATCAAATGAAATAATATTTGCAAAGTGCTTTTCAGACTTTAAAACACTATGGAAATGCTAGCTATATAGCTCTAATTGTTCAGAGTTTTTCCTTACACAAACTCTAACTTTAGGAGAGATCTTTGCAACTTTACCCATTTCTGACTAGTTTTACCTTCTAAAGCCAAGAAGAAAATGTCTGATAGCTCTCTTCAAATGTTTGAAAGACTAGTAAAGTCTCCCTTGTGTATCCTCATCTTCAGGCTAGCCATCTGCATTCCTTCAATCATGCTTCATATGGCATGAACTCTGGTCCCCTCACCATCCTGGTTACCCACCTCTGGATTTTCTCTAGCTTGTCAATGTCTTTACAAAAGGGGCACTTACCTCTAGCCGAGTGGTCTGACCAAGGCTAGGTGCAGAATACAGGGCTCTGGGGAGCAGTTAGCTTTTGTTTGGTTGCCACATCACATTGTTGTTGACTGACTTATTTTAAGCCTGCAGTCCACTTAAAACCCCTAGCCCTTTTGCACATTGACGGTGACGCCTCCCTAATCCTGTTTTTTTGAAAGACATTGAAAAAAAAATCCAAACACAAATGGAGAACTATATTTATCCTTATTAAATTCCATCCTATTCCATTTGATCCATCTTTTAGCATGTTGATTCTATTCCCCATTGTTTGGAGTTTTTTTCCCATCTTCGATTTGACAAACGTGCTTTCTGTGCTCTAACCTAAATCAAGGATATGATGTTGAACAGCCAGTGACTGAGGATGGATCTTCTGGGCACTTCACTAGAGACTTCCCTGAAAGTAGTCATCGACTACCCTTTGCATCGCGTCATTTGACTAGTTCTGGCTCCATCTAACTGCCCCAAACCTGCATCTTTCACTTTTTGGTGTCTATCCTTCCCTCCCTTCCAATCTCACCTGCCTGGACTCCGTCCATTGCAGCTCCTCCCTTCCAGGGCTCAATTTCTCCTACTACATCCCTGGCTGGTTGGAGGTCCGATCCTGCTGAATTGAATGGGGGTGGAGCATCACAGCTGTGAAAGGAAGGCAGCGGGGGAAGGCGGAGAGCTAGGAGCAGCGGAGGAGGGGAAAAGCAGCCGCCTCAGTCAGAATGGATGTGGCTTTGTAAAGGCTTGGGAGAAGCCATGCTGGGGGTCTCGGGGAGAGACTGGCTTTGCTTTCTCTTCTTTTCACTGCCTGTCCTAGGGCTGCTGGCGGCTCAGGATCCGAGATGGAGAAGTAAGTGTGTGTGTGTGTGTGTGTGTGTGTGTGTGTGTGTGTGTGTGTGTGTGTGTGCTGTGAGTCTGGGGCTTTGGAAGAAGGGGCTGGAGCGCTGATTAGGGGTGAACTTGGGGAGATCCCTGTATTTCCCGAAATATGGGCAGAAGTGCGGGGGACTGGGTGGTGGCTTGGAGCAAGAAGGGAAAATAACATCCTTCATTCTGCTCGCTGATTGGGAACTTTTCTCGGGATGTCGTGGCTCGTCCTGTACGGGTAGCTCCTATGCTAGATCCCTCACTACCGGCTGGGCACGGCTCGGCTTTGTTCAGTTTGCCCACTCGGGAGGCTGCCTCTCCTGCAGAGAGACTGGACTGGGAACAGGATAAATAAACGGGTTGCCGCCAGCCCAGAGTATCCATATCCTTGCTTACCCTGGATTCTGTGCGGGAGGCTGATCCCTGGCTTCTCGAGCTCAGTCCTGGGGGCATCCTCTCCGCCCGGCACAGTGTTAGACGCACAGCAGGCTCCGAGGCAGTCCTGGCAGACTGTACTTCCCTCGAGATCTCTTCGGGGACGAGCTATCTCCACTCTCTACCACTAACATCGCCCTGGATACGCCCAATCTTTCAATCCGCTCCTGAAATAATCCCTCTCTAAGAAGGTTCCTCTCAGCTCTGTCATTCTATGATCTAGGGTTCTTTATAGTTCTAACATTCTCTGTTCCAGGGTTCTTTTAAGCTCTGTCATTGTACGTTCTAAGATCTCTTCTAGCACTTAAAAGATATTCTGTGCTTTAAGATTCCTTCGAGTTCTGACAATATATGTTTTAAAGTCCCTTCTCGTCCCAAAATTCTGTGATTTAAAGTCCTCTCCAGTTCTGTCATTCTGTGTTCTGTGGTTCTGGGTGGGTAACTCATTACACTCATTCATTACCACCTTAAGAAATTACAGCCCCTCCCCGAGATTGGAAGGCTTGGCTGGCTTACCCGACTTAAGATAATTGATAAGCTCCAAATCTTTTTCTGGAGAAGGGGTTGGTGGGTGCAGGAACCTAAATCTTAAAGGGAGGGCTGAGTTGATCTGAGCTTCGAAGTCCACCAGAGAAGCTTTGATGGGAGCAGTCGAATCCGATTTCATGTTTACAGAATGAGCACAGTCCTGGAAACTGAACAGAGCATTCCAGGCAGGAGTTATGCCCTGGAGTAACTGACAAATATAGAGTTGACAGACATAGGTCCTCTGCATTTTGAATTTTGTCTCTACACCCTCTCCTTATCTGCCATCCTTCCCTGACACATACACTTTTCCATCCTGGAATGTCTGAGATAACAGGGTATTTTTTTTTGGGGGGGGGGGTTAGGATGCCCTGGGGAGAATGGAATCATATTCCTCATCTTTTTTTTTTTCTTTTTGGTGAGACAGTCTGGGTTAAGTGACTTGCCCAGGGTCACACAGCTAGTAAGTGTCAAGTATCTGAGGTAGGATTTGGGCTCAGTTCCTCCTGACTCCAAGGCTTGAGCTCTATCCACTGCACCACCCTGCAGAGGTTGGGTAGCCTTCCTGGAAATTATGGGGTGGGGGTGGATATTTTACTGACTGAATAGAAAACTATCCTTGCCTTCCCAATTGTGAATTAGAATTAACTGAACTATGCTCAGTGAATGCTGAGCATTTATAATACAGAGAAGGAAAAGCCCTTCACCTCCTTTAATGACCACTAAGTAAGGCTGTCTGGGGTCCATAACTCTTTAAGACGATGTCTTTATAATGAGCAGTTCATTCAATTCAGTAAGTATTTCCTGTCAGGATAATGTATAGGAAATATGTGAGGAAAGCAAGGCACAATCCGTACTCTTTTGGAACACACAATTTAATTGATGAGTCAGCAAGACTCAGGTTCATAGAACAATAAAAGGTAGTGTTTGTGTGTAAGAAGTAGCACCTCCAGTAAAAGAATGTAAGCTCCTTGAGGGCACAGACTGCTTCATTTTTGTCTTGGCACTTAGCTCAGTCCCCTTATGCATAGTAGGTACTGAAGCCTCAGAAGTCATCTGATTTTACAAATGAGCAAACTGAGGCAAAGAGGTCTAGTGACTTGTCTAAGATCACACACAGGTAAGTAAAAAACAGAACAGCGACTTGAGCAGGTATTTTGTGTGGTCCCTTCTTCCTCCCCCCCCCCATAGTGTTCTGTGCTGATGCCTCCTCATCTTGGCCTAGATGCTATGACAACAGAACACCACATCTGGAGGGATTTAACTAAGCTGAAAAGAATGCCAAAATGGGCCCAAGGATTCAATTGAATTTAATTGAAGAGATGGGTTCTGGTCGGAATTGAAAGTACTTGTCCAGTTCAGAAGAAGATAGGACTCTAAGACAGGACTTTTTAAACTTTTTCCACTTGCCTGAGAAATTTTTACACAACCCTGGGCATATAGGTATATAAAATAGGCATATAAATCAAACATTTACTGATAATAAATCATATAGAAATTTATTTTAAAACAATCCTTTGGTATATATATATAATTTTACCATTTATTAAAGATGAAAACAAATTTGCATACTAATGAGATGGATGGGCTTGTTTATTTTTACACAAAGAATTAAATCTTGGTGAAATATTTGGTACTGAAGGACGTAGAGCACCTTCAACATTTTTAAGAGTTGATCGCTTTTTGATTTTATAATTGTCGATGCTGAGAACACTGCTTCAAATAAATACGTAGTACAAAATGGCAGAAATATGTTTAGGGCCATTTCAGAAATTCTTGGAAATTCTGCCCTAATCCCAAGCCAAAATTCATTTAATGATTTTGTATGTACAGCAAAAACACTGCAATTCATAACATACAATAGTCTCGAATCTAAGCTGAGGTGTTTCTGGCAGCGTTTGTTGGGGTTGTGTGGCATGACAGCATGTGCAGTGCAAAGTGTGCATGTGGTGTGTTCAGAACCAAGGTTGCAGTGAAGCTATGCAATGTAACACAGGCAAGCTGTGCCAGAAACACCTTGGATTCATTACGCATTTGATTTTGAATTAATTTTTGGTCATTGCAAATTCAGAACCTTTTACTGTTGCCAAGTTTTTTTGCGACCCCCACAGTCAGTTGTGCAACCCCAGTGGGGAAGGTCTGCCCTAAGGGACTTGGAAGGACAGCCTGAGGGCTAAACCGCACCTTTTCCTTCATCCTGGACCTATAGGGGTGAGTGCTGCTACACAAGATGCTTTGAATCTATACTGTCCACACAGATGGAACCATTACCCTAATTACATCACTCTCTTTATTGATTATGATTGTTATAAGCCCTGCCTGTGATTTTAAAGTCTAGCTCATGCTAAACTAGGTTTGAAATCTCCTTTAGTTTCTGCCCCTCAATAGTTTACATTCTTTTATAAAGAATAATTTGCCGTGAAAGGCAGTAACGGTTTCGATAAATGAAATGAAAGTATTTGCCACGGTTGTCACAGAATCACAGATTTGGACCTAGAAGGGAACTTGGCAGTCATCTTGGGGTCTCATAAGTAGTAGTAAATGACTACTAGAGTTGAGATTCGAACCCAGGTCCTCCCATTGTGGCACACTGCCTTGACCTACTGTGGAGGCCCAGCCTTTCATTGGAGTTTGTATCTTTTTTTTCTGCAGGAGGAGAAAGTGAAGCAAATCGCTTGCCACAGCATGAATTGATAAAACCTCAGTGGAGAACAGAGGGCCCAGAGGGAGAGAAGGTAAGACTCAGAGGCCCTTACTGGAGTTGCTAGCATTGTATGAGTTTATTGAAATTTGCATCTTAATGCATTTTCTTTTTAATGGAATGGCCTCTGTTTATTGGATAATTATGAAGACAAGTTGAAGAAATACGGTTTTACTTACCAAATTGGCGATCAGAAGAAATTAGCACACAACCACAATGTTCTTCTCTAAGTGATCGATCCTACTTCCTCTTTCCTGGGTTGATCCCACCTCTCAGCTCACTGAGGAATGCTAGTGCCCCCTGTTGTCGTATTTTGCCTTCTAACATCTGGGGATTGGCAGCAGTTCTAGCTTTGCTTTCTTTTTATGGTCAAGGGGCTTAGAACCATATGATCCAGGTGCCCGGTCCCTTTTTTTTACAGATAAGAAAACTGAGGCCCAGAAAAGTTTAAGTGACTTGTCAAGAGCTGGGATTTGAACCCAAGTCTTCTGACCCCAAATATAGAAATCTTTCCATTATGTACCATAGTATGAAGCCAGATTTGGAAAGAGGCGCTACAGCTGTTTAATAATGCCCAGCAATAATGCCCCTAGCAGTGGTGGATTTTGGCAGGTTTTAGCCACGCGGCAATCATGAATATGAGAATAAGGAGAGAGGGGTGTTAAGGGCCTGTTGTGCTTGCGCCCTTCTTGAAGGATCCTGAGGTCCTTCAGGTCAGAATGTGAAACTAGAAGGATCTTTGAGATCCTCTGCAGCGTTGGGTGTGAAGATAAACTTCAAAGCAGGGCTCAGATCTCAGTTCTGCTTCTTACTACCCGAGTGACTTGGGGCAAGTTGCTTTACTTTGTTGGCCTCAGCGTACTTCTCTGTAAAAGGAAGCGGCTGGACTAGGAAATAATAATAATTGTTAGCATTTGTCTATTTTGTGATACCAAGTGCCGCGGGTTACTGATCTTTTACATGGGTATTGCGTAGGGTACACGAACACCTTCTCTGGGCTTTGCTCCATTGGTATAATTTTCTCTCTTTGGAGAGCTCTGGACTGTTACTCTTGCCCTAGTCAGGAGTCTGCCTTGCTTCACTTTCTGAGGCAGTGTGATGTAGTGGATAGAGAACTGGACTTAAATGAAGACCTAGGTTTGATTGTTTTTTTTATTCTTATTTTTAGTTAACAAGCATTTATTTTCTCTCCCTCCCATCCTCCACTATTAGGCATACTGTAAATGCTTAAAAACTTCTTCCTTCTTTTCTTCCTTCCCTTCCTTCCCTTTCTTTCTTTCTTTCCTTCATTTCCTTTCCTTCCTTCTTTTGTTTCTCCTTTCCTTCTGTCTTCTTTCTTTATCTCATAGGAAAATGAAAAAAGAAAAACAAACTCTTGTAGCAAATATGCATAATAAAACGAAACAAATTCCCACACTGGCTATGTCCAATTCTGTATGTCTCATTCTCTATCTTGAGTCTATCATCTTTGTCAGGAGGTATGTATCATGCATCACCGCTAGTCCCACGGAATAGTGGCTGGTCATTGTGTTGGTCAGAGTTCTCAAGTCGATTTAAGGTTGGTTGCCTTCACAGTGTTGTGGCCATTGTATAAATTGTTCTCCTGGTTCTGCTCACTTCACTCCGCATCAGCTAATACAGGTTCCCCAAGGACCTGGATTAGAATCCTTCCCCAGATATGTACTAACTATGGGACCCTGCACATTTGACTTAACTTTCCTGTCTATAAAATGAGGGAGTTGGACTGGAGGAAAGCCCTTTCTAGCTTTAGAACTGTGATCCTTTGATTTGATTCTTACCTGGTTCAATGACCAGGCCAGTGTTTGCTGAGATCTTGTCACTGTCATGCTTTCATCCTCCCTCTCCCTCCCCCCACCACTTTGAGATCAAAGTTTACTACCTCATTCCTTTGAAGCTGCCATATACTACTCACCCCCATCCCCTACCCATATTAAATCTAAATCCTGGACCTGTTTCTTCCTACCTTGAACCTAATCCCGGGAAAGTCACTCCCCTTCTCTGGGTTTTAGTCTCCTCATGTGTTCAATGAGGGCTTAGACATGACGTCTAACATCCCATCTGGCTCTAAATCCCCTGATCCCATCTGTGTTTTTTTCATTGGGGTTTTCTGGACACAACAACTCCTGAGGTGTGTGTGTGTGTGTGTGTGTGTGTGGAGGGGGTTATCTAGACCTGTGATCTCATTGACTTATGGAACTTCTGGAATAGAAACTATACCCAACAGTGCAGATCAGCCTAGGGCACTCAGAGGTTAGGAGACTATGGTTACATAGCTATCATGTGTCAGAAGAGCCCTTTGACATCAAAGATCTTGCTTTATTCACTATACTACTATCATCTCCCTATAGGTATTGCCTATGTTTTACAGATAAGTAAACTGAAACTCACAGAGGTTCAGTGACTTGTCTGTGGTCATACAACTAGTGTCAGACGTAAGATTCAAATCCATATCCTGAGTTCTTAAAAACGATACATGTAAATCTAATCTCTATCATGTCAGAAGACTTTAAATAAACATTCTAGTAATAGATTTTCTCTGCTTCCCAGGATCAACCTAAGTATAGAGAGGCGCATCACCAATACACTAACGTCTATGCAAAGGTAGCCTGAGGCATAGATGTGGTGGAAATTATATTGGAACACATGTCCCAGGAGTCAGAGACAAGAGACAGCAAAGGCTTGTGATTACACTGAAAAACAACGTACCTTGTTGTTCAATCGGGTCTGATTCTTTGTGACCCCATCTGAGGTTTTCTTAGCAAGGATGCTGGCGTGGTTTGTCATTTCCTTCTCTAGCCTATTTTAAGATGAGGAAACTGAGGCAAACAGGGTTAAGTGACTTACACAGGGTCACACAGCTACTAAGTGTTTGAGGTTGGATTTGAACTCAGGAAGATGAGTCTTCCTGACTCCAGACCCAGCACTCTATCTACTTCTCCACCTAGCTGTTCCCTGTAGCCTCATACTGTCATACAATAACTACTTCCTCTGAGACATGCTGGATATAATGAACACCAAATTGTGTAATAAAAAATGAAATTAATTACTTTTTAATAGACAGGAAATTACTATCTTATTAATATGGAAGGCATTTCTGAATTAGCTGCTTGCTATACATTCAGATCACCAACATACTAGAGCAAAGATCAAAATCAACACCAAAGTGGGAGAAAGATTAAAAACAAGAAAGTCTCCTAGCTGTGGTGACTCCAGCTTGACTTGTTTAAATAAGCTAATGGTGCACCCCAATAGGAAATGTATAAAGCAACAACCATTGACACAAATGATCACAGTTTCCTAAGGAAATTTAACTGATGTAAATCAGCTGTCAGGACAAGAAGAACAAAAGAAATCAGACCCTGCCACAGCCATGGAACACTCGAGACCCTCAACAAACTCAAAGAGAAGGCAGTGTAGTATAGTGGAAAGAGCCTCTGTCCAATAATGGGGTTGACTTCTGAGATCCCTTTTAGCTCTAAGCCTGGGAGCCAAAAAAAAAAAAAAATCTATGAGCAGCTGACAGAAATACTTGTTTAGAAGATAAACTTGTTTGTAAAATCTTATGGAGGTCAAGAGTATGAGTAGGGTTACCACATAAAGTAGTGTAGAGGACAGCGAGTCTACAGAAAGCTTGGTTAGAGAATCAAGTAAGCAAAATTATCCCAAGGGTGTGAAGGATGAAATTAAAAGAAGATGATGAAACAGACAGAAAATGGGAAAAAAAGTCCATAAAGATTTTTATACCAAACTCTTTTCACGATAAGTAAAGTATTTATTGAACTTTATTATGTGTCAGGTGCCATGCTAGGTGCTACATATACAAATACCAATTGTTCACAGATGAGTAAATATAGAATATATTGGAGCAGTCAGTTGAAGGAGGTGACATCTGACCCTGAAGGAAGCTAGGATTCCAAGAGGTGGAGATGAGGAGGGAGAACTTCCCATACATCAGGGATAGCCTGTACAAAGGCACTGAGTCAGGGGAGGGAATTTTGTGTATAGCAAGTAGCTGATTTGGCTGGAGCAAAAGAGTACATGAAGTAGAGTAATGTGTAATCAACCTGGAGAGAGAGGCTGGAGCCAGATCATGAAGGGCCTTAAATGTCCAATAGAGGTGTTTGAAAGTTATCCTAGAGGTAAGAAGGAGCTATCAGAGCTGCTTGAGGAGGAGAGTGGCAGGGTCCAGCTATGCTTCAGAAATAACTCTTTCTGTCAGTTGAGTGGAGAATGAATTGGAGATGGTAGAATGGAGGCATTTACTAGAAAACTATTGCAGATAGTTCAGGCAAGAGGTAGTGAGGTCATGGACTAAGATGGTTTGTGGTTGTGAATAGCAAGAAGGGGACAGATGTGAGATGCCTTGAGGAGGTGGAACCAAGAAGATTTGGCAAGCCTTTGGCTACAAGGGGTGAAAGGGAATAATCAGGGATGACTCCTAGGTGGAAAACCTAGGTGACTGGAAGAGTGCTGGGGGTCTCAATGGAAATAGGGAAACCAAAAGCAGGAGTGGCCTTGGCAAGAAAGAGAACTAGTTCTCCTTTGGACGTGTTGAGGTTGAGGTGCCTATGGGAAATACAGGTGGTTGTATCTGGCAGACTCTTGAAGGTGTGGGGACTGGAGTTCCGAAGAGAGATGAACATCTATTTGGAAATCCATTACATAGAGATGATAATTAAACATATGGTACTAAATGAGATCATCAATAAAGAGACAATGTAAATAGAGGGAGGAGAGGGTCCAGGAAGGTACACCCACAAAAAGGGCATGGAACATGAATGAGGATCCTGCAAAGGAGTCTGAGGATTGAGAAGTAGAGTGAGAGTAGTCACAAAAACTCAGGGGGGAGAAAGTACCCAGAGGGTAGGGGTAGACATCAGTGGCGAAGAAGGATGGGGGCTAAGAAAAAGACCACTAGATTTGGAAATAAGGGATCATTGGTGACCTTACAGAGAGTGGTTTCTGTAGAGCAGTGGAGATGGAAACTAGATTGCATCAGTAAAAGGGCAGTCA